ACTCTGGTTCGGAACATAAAAATAAGTTATCTAGAGGACATGATTTGGCCACATTCCATGTAAGGCTGTGCTGCACAGAACACCAGGCATCTACAGGGAGCTTGCATTTAAGGTGGTTCCTCTCCTCTCCCCAGACATCATTAGAAGGATGACAGCGGGCTTTTTTTTACCACTGAGAGGGGGAAAAACACAGCAAAGATTCCTTTACCTCCGTGAAAAGGAAAACGCAACAAGCACAAAAGTTGCCGATTCTCTCGTTCTTTAAGGAAGCAACACTGGAAACCTGCATTGAAAATTTATTACTTAAAAGGAAAAAAAACCCAAAACACTATTACACCGTCGTTTTATTTCCCTCCTGTGCACAGAGCAGAACGTGCAACACACTTGTACCCACAACAGTGAGGAGACATCGCCAAGGGCAATTCCTAATTAACATTAGGAAGGCTCTGGCTGCATCCCATCCCACAGCCTGCCTGCTGGGATTTTAGGGAGAGTCTCAGATATCACCGCCTTTCAGTAAAGCTCAGTCCCATGGCAAGGAAGAAGCTTACAAACCGGGGGTGTATTTGACTGTGAAAGAAACTTTGCCTGCAGTGATTTTAGGAAAAGGTTTTCCTGAAACAGGTAAAACAAATGCTGAATTCAATCCCACTAGAAAGCCCCTTGTAAGTAATTCCAGGTAAATACCCATTAAGCAATGTAAAAGCAGAGTTAAGCACTGAGCAGGAATTCCTGCATTACATGCTGAGCACCATTTATCACCCTATGCCAACAGGCAACTAGTGAGAACCTCTTACTCAAAGAAACGTTTCCCATTAGCTAATTAAATTAACCTCTAAATTTAGTAGCTCACACTCGCTCTTAAACTGACCTGTTTCACCTCGGCAGTTGCTGGGGTGGGGGAAACACATCACATTATTATATACAGTCAGTCCTTCTGCGAGCAGACACCGAGCCCCAGCAGCAGCAAGCCCGTCTAGAAACGCGCGTTTGCTCCTGAACTCAACCGCTCACTGCTTGCCAGGAACCACATCAGAGTAATCTTTTAATACTCCAACCAAGTGGTCATTGTGAGTCTTAAACCGGCGTTTCTTCTGAGAAGCAGGTTTCTTCCTCCTCTGAATGGGGGCCTGCAAGAAGAAACAAACAGGAGTCAGAAGACCTGTGACGTCTGACCTGACGTGTGACACCGTGCCGGTCACCACTGCTGCGAAAGATGAGCTCTGCCAGAACCAGGGGTGGGCAGGGAAGGGAAGTTCTGGCTCTTGGAGAAGCAACGGCATCCAATTCCAATCCAGGCAGGGAGATGACCCTGGGGACAGAGCAGAGCCAAGGTATCCCAGGCCCAGTAGTAAAGGTGCCATTTCTAAGTGCAGGTTCCAAACCACCCCATGCAGCTACGGAAGCAGGTAGATGCTCCACAGTTCTATCCACAATCCCACCAGGATTTCAAAGCTGTTTAGCAGCAAAGTTAAACCCCCTCACAACACTTCCTCCCAAAATACTACTACTCTTGATGCACTGTAAAGCTTCAAGCAGAAGCTGCCACCGTGGAGCTCACAGGGATTCCTGCTTGCCCTCTTTTGATGCTGCTCAAATTAATTACACTGGCACTAAGGAGTCATAAAAATCACGGACTGATTTTTATCATGGACTGGCTGCAGCACGTGGTTTTCCCAGTTTTTAACACTGGTCACACTTCCCCAAGCTCCACAAAGCCGTGCACGGGCTCACCAGCAAGTTTTGGAATTAACACTGTGGGATCAGGAAGGGGGGGATTTCCCAGGAAGATCTACAATTTGCATCTCTTACTATTTTCTTTGGTCCGGTTTCTTGCATGGAAGAAATACCCTGTCGTTTCAGATACTCCTCTATCTTCTCCTCATCCATAGAATCCACGGGAATGCTCCTCCACAGCTTCTGGAATTCTGAAACGACAAACCCAGTTTTATATATCCCTGAGAGCAGACCCTGGGCAAAGACCCCACAGGAAGAGAAGGAGAGAGACTTGATTTCAAACACTGAAACATTCTGGCACGTCAGTCTGTCACCGCCAGCAGGCACTCACTCAGCACAGCCTTCCTGCTGATGCACTGCC